TAGGCAGTGCTGAGGGACCAAGACAGGAGGTGGAATGCCATGTTTGGGACACACCAAATGGAACACCATAGATGGATAGATCAAAGAGCATGTGTGTGGAGGTGAAAGGGTCAGAACAGTATGAAGGAGCCAGATCACAAGAGTTTTAAATGTCAAACTTTATATTTGATCAGGAAAGAGACTTCAGACAGGGAGATCAATTAGGAACTTATTAAAGTAATCCCAGGGAAAGGTGAGGAGGGCCTCAGCTAATGTGGTAGCTATTGAGCGGGAAGGAAAGGGGATATATATAGAGTGTTGTAAAGATAGAAACAGCAATAAGGAGAGTCACCAAGGGTGCAGTCATGGCTGCCAGGGAGAATGATGTTACTGTTCATAATAAATTGTTGTTCAGTCATTTCTGATTCTTCATGACCCCATTTGGGGTTTTCTTGGCGAAGATACTGGACTGGTTTGCCATTTTCTTCTCCAGCTCATTTGACAGACAAGGAAATAGAGGCAAACAAGGTTAAGTGACTTGCCCAGGGTCACACAGCTAGTGTCTGAGGCTGGATTTGAACTCAGGTCTTCCTGGCTCCAGGGCTGGCACTCTATCCACCTCACTACCTAAGTACCCCTAAAAACACAATATAAATGCTGGGTATTATTATGTTAAATTTGAGATGTCTATGGGACATGTAGGTCAAGATTTCCTAAAGGCAGTTAGTGACGTGGGGACAGGAGCTCAGAAAAGACAGCAGGGCTAGATATAAAGATCTGGGAATCATCTAAATAGCGCTAATAATTGAATCCATGAGGGCTAATGAAATCACCAAGTGAGATATAGTATTAAGGGGAAAAGGGAAGACATCCCAAAACACAGAGTCTTTTGGGACACCTGGAGTTAGTGGACATAAAATGGAATCTGGCAAAGGAGACTAAGAAGGAATGGATACCTGAGTAAGAGGAGAATCAGGAGGAAGCTAGAACAGAGAGTATCCAGGAGGAAAAAGCAATCAGCAGTGTCAAAGACTGCAGAGAGATCAGTGAGAAAAGACCATTAAATCTGGCAATTAAGAAACTGCAGAAGTTCTAGTTAAATGACAAGGTTTGAAATCCTATTTCAGAGGGTTTAGAAGAGAATGGGGGAGGGGGAAGTGGAGGCATCTAATATAGATGGCTTTCTCAAATGTAACAGAGAAAGAAGAGATACAGGACTGTCCCTAATGTGGATGGTAAGGTTAAGTTAGGATTTTTTAACCCTAGAAGGACTAGAATTTAAGAATATGTCAAAGGACCAAGATGCATCAGTTGGCATTTTTTTATCCAGAAAGCAAAGGGATATTTCAAAGTAGAATTATAATATCTTTGTGTCAATATTGCACGAAGTAGTTCCAGTATTCAGAACTGGGAAGCAGGAAGCAGGCAGCAGGAAAGGAACCAGCAGATAGGGAGAGATTAAAATTTAAGAGGGAGGGAATGATGGTGAGGACAATTTGCTGGAGAAGGAAGGAGGATGGCATCATGGGGTCATGTAGAGGGATTGATCTGAGGCAGCAGGGGAGTCACTTCTTGATTTGAGGCAGAAATAAAAGAGGAGACTTCAGTGAATATATATGAAGTTATGTCCTCAGATGAGAGGATGGTGGGAGTGGTTAGGATGGGAGGTTTGAGGTGAAGGGAGAAGGTATGGAATATCCCTTGTGGTGAATGGGATAGAGAATCAATTGGGAAGGAGAGAAGGGTTACCTTGGTGCAGTGAGGACCCAATAGAGATTAGAAAGCATAAAATTTTAGTGGATCTTCTAATCACAATTTTGTGATCTTTTCTAGCTCTATTGAACAAAAGAGATAGATAATGAAAGTAATCCAGAATTGGGGTTTGGCAAGACATAACCACTAGTAGGACAAGTGGGCAAAGGATTCCAGATTAGAGGATAATTTAGAGAAGATGTTCACTCAAAACTTATCCTGATCCACCCAGGGTTCAAAATAGGGAAGAAAGGAGAGCGTAATCAGTGCAGGGGTAATGGCCTGGGAAAGAACTAATGAATGGAGGGAATGGAAGTCAAAGTGACAATAAAGAATGAGGTTGGGGGCAGGGGGTGTATACACCTTGAGACATAGGGAAAGATGGAACATGGAACAATTGTGAGTGATACTCAAGAGTATGACTGTCTCTGTGTGTTGCTAAGGTGGCATCAGGGAGTAGGTTGTTTGAAAGGTGGAGCTGGTCTCTGGGAGTTCTATGAGGTTAAATGGCCAATTAGATATCTTCAAATCAATTCCACAGGCATTTATTAGGTGCCCATTATGGTCTAGGCATCAGGAAGGATACAAAGATAAATAGGACACAGTCCCTATTTCAAAGAACTTAACGATATAGTAGGGGAGAGAAGATATATACTCCAATGTCTTTAGTACAAATTAACAAAATGTTACGAAAATTCCAAGGAAGGGAAGAGATTTCTTTGAGCTTTGGTAATCAAGGAATGCTTCATGGAGGAAATAGCCACTAGTTGGATTTAAATGTTCTTTTCTCTTGTAGAACCTAGGTATAATTATTTTGAATTTATTTCAATACCTGGCATTCTTTTTATATAAATTGCTATTAGCTCATCCTGTGCAGCATTGATATTTATCATAGTGTCTGAATTAGTGTTACATCCAGATTCATGGGACACCATCCTTCATCAGAATTTGCAGTAAAAGCAATAATTTCTATTTTAAGGATGTTGTAAGCTATTCTAGTCTTCTCATGTCATTGCTAGACAACAATTAGACTATAATTGGATGTAATTAACTTTCCTGCAGACTAGAGTATACTCTACTTATGACAAGGTAGCTCTTAAAATATGAAAATCTGTTTCTCACCTTCAGAGGAATACTTCCAGGATGATCGTTATAAATAATTGCTTCAGTGATCAGCATAAGCTTTGAGTAAGCATCTTCTCATCAGTAGTGAGCTATTTTAAAAGTAGAAATGTATCGATAATTTTAAATCTTGAATGAAAAACAATTAGGCATAACTATTGAAACTGTCTAATAATTGTGTAAATAATTTAAATCCTCAGATAATATGTGTATATTATATATATATATATATATATATATATATATATATACACATATATTTTATTGTCAACCCTCCTCCCTGCCAGAAGGGCACTGAAAGAATATATAATTCACTTGGGGAGACTGCGCTAATATACATGAAATAACGATAGAACATAATGGAGCTTACAATTCTATAGTACAGCTTAGAATAATGTACTATGTAAATGTTACAAGTTCAATCAATCAACCAATAAATGTTTATTAAGCACCTACCATGTGCCAGGCACAGTACTAAGCACTAAATTCAGAAAAGCAAGAGATTTACAAAGATTTACAAAGGCTATTAGAGAAGGCTTCATGGAGTAAATAGGACATAATCAGACCCCTCAGGGATGGGAAGGATTTGAATAGACAAAAGGGAATCTGATGAGGAAAGACACATGTGGCAATGGCTTGTTCTCATGACCTTCCCAACAGGAGCCACAAAAGTCAGTGTAGATACATAGAAAAAATGGGATTTTTGAGCAGAGGGATGAAATGATGGAAAGTGGTGTTTGAGGAAGATTTGATTGGCAGTGGTATTAATAATGGGGTAGAGTATGGAAATCTACAATCACAGTACCTTTTCCATTACAGGTTTGGATTTGGTGGCCTGAAATGTTTCCTCTAATTAAAGTTCTGTGATTCTTTGTGGCCCAGTGGAAATCCATTACATTAATAATAATAATAGCTAACATGTATATAGCACTTAGTATGTATCAGGTCCTGTGCTAAACACTTTACAATTCTTATCTTATTTGATCCTGGGAGGGAGGTGCTATCATTATCCTGGTTTTACAGATGAGGAAACTGAGGCAGACAGAGGTTAAGTGACTTGCCCGGGGTCATATAGTCAGTTTCTAAGGCTGAATTTGAACTCAGGTCTTTTTAACTTCAGGCCCAGCACTCTGTGCCACCCAGCTGCCTATGCCAAGTGTGAGATAATGAAACCTTTGGCTAAGGGGTAACATTGAGAGCAGAGATGAATACAAGATGGATTTCGTGGGAAACATCAATAAACTTGAGAATTGATCGGATAGGAAGCATGAATGAGACGGTTGTGTCACATGGGTCTCCCGCCTGGTTGATAAGGAGAATAGTAGTGTCATGGATATTGTTGTTTGTCCTTCGTTCTCGAAGAGGACCATGACATCAGGGAGGTGATGCCATGACATGCAGGAAAGTTGGATTTAAGTGAGGGAGGGCTGTACAGAGTCACCACCCTCACTGTCTCATCCGGAGCCATTTGGGTCCAGTGGCCAGATATGGATCAGACAACTGGCGATGGCCCAGGATGCAGCGGGGAACCTTGGCCTTTTCAACCTAAGGTCTTTGACAGGACTCAGTTTGACTTGAGGCAGCACCTATTCAGTGATTAAGGCTTAATAAGAAAATCAACATCATGGATATGAAGAAAGTTGAAGGGCATTTGGTGCAGAGGTAGTTAGTGATTCATTTTATCTCTAAAGTCGAAGTGAGATAGAAACAGCCAAGAGAGTGAAAATCTCTAGTAAGTATTTGGAATTATGATCCTGGAGTTTCAATGAAAAGATAGGATTAGAGATAGAGATTTTGGATTCTTCATGATAAGTAATAAAATGAATTCATGAAAACAACCATGCTGGTTGTGGGGGCACATGCCTGTAAGCCCTGTCATCAAAGAAGGCTAAGACCGATCCATCACTTGATCTTGGAAGTCTTGCACTTATGTAGGGCTACAGCTGATCTGCACAGAGACCTGAGCCCACCAGGTGACCTAAGGAGTGTCAAACCAGCCCAAGTCAGAAACAAGACAAGTCAAAGACCCATGCACTTCAGACCTGGGTGAGATAGGGAAACCAAAACTCAAAAAAAATTTTTTTAAAGGACTAATCCTTTTTTGGCTCAATTCTGTGATTCACTGTGAATTTGTTTTTGTTTTATAGATGCCTGTTTATATCCATTTCTTAATATCTTCCCAGCATCAAACCCTCTCTTGTAACAAAGAAGAACAGGTAAGCAAAACCAATATACCAAATGGCCTTATCGTCAGTGTCTGATGCTATATTCCAGACTTTTGGTCCACCAATCTCTGCTATGAAGGGGAAAGCGTTTCTTCATCATTTATTATATGGAACCAAAAATGGTTATTGCAATTAATCAGATTTTGGTGGTATTTGAATGTTTTCATTTAAATATTGTAGTCATATTTATTGTTGTCCAAATTGTAATTTCTTTGCCTTGCGCTGGTTACTACAAATCTTCCCATGTTTCTATAAATTCTTCATCTTCAGCTTTTCTTAGAACACAGTAATACTCCATTACATACATGTACCATAGCTTTTTGAGGCTTTCTCTATCTGATGAATAGCCATTTCTTTTCCAGTTTTTTGTTGTTTTTTTTTTTTTTGCTACCACAAAAAGGGCCACTACAAATATTTTTATATATATGAACCTTTCTGTCTTTGACCTCCTGGGGGAATAGTGGAATTTGTGATGCCCTTGGGCAATGGAAATCTGATTTAGTGAGTACTGAAGAGGCAATCTGGCAGATTTGCAAGTAAGAAGAAAGAAATGACCAACCCAGAATGTTTTAACTAGTCTGCCCTCTCTTGCTCTCCCCTACCTGCACAGACACTAAAATAAAATCAACTTTTACTACCTACCCACCATAAATTGTTACTGTTCTCATTTATAGGGACATATAGCTGCCTGCAAGTAATACTACCCGTGGAAAATTCAAGTATAGTACTTAAATGCAAAATAAGATTTCCCTGCACTTACATTTCTTGTAATGAAAGGCTCAATAAAATTATTTTAGGAGTTTAGTCCATGACCATTTTTACTTATAACTACCTGTAAACAAAATTTAAAAGAGCACCACAAGCCCAGAGTTTTCTATGTCACTTTTTTGTGATGCTATCACTGAAGTCAGGCAAATGCATCCTTTTTTGCCAAGGTCAGAAATTCTTGAGCAGTTATCGTATCAACTAATTTTCAGCGTGGAGGCCAGTACCTTGCATCTGTTGGGCTCTTCTCTAGCAGATTGGTAGTATGATTTAGTGGAGAGAACTTTGGTTTTGACATCAAGAAAGACCTTGATCTAAGACTCAGCTGACACTGGTTGAGCAAGTTTATCCTTTCTGATCCTCACTTTCCTTATTTGTAAAATAATTATTTTATAATTATATATAATTAGCAATTATATATAATTATGATACACATAATTATATAGAGATATATTTTGTAATGATATGTTACATAGTTATGTAGCACTTTTACATAGCACTTTAAGGTGTGCAACGTACCATATATTATATATGTATTATATGCACATACATATGTAATATGTATTGTATATTGCCTATATGCATATACATATGTCTATATATTATATAGGTCTATATTAAATATATAATGTAGACACATATAATACAATATGCACATATATAATATGTCTTTATACTATATACATATATTTAATCTTATTTGATTCTCATAACAGTCCTGTGAGGTAGGTGATATTGTAATTTCCTCTTTACAGATGAAGAAACTGAGTCTGAGTGAGGTCAAACAAGTTGTCCAGAATCACACAGCTAGTAAGTGTCTGAGGCTAGATTTGAATTCCGGTCTTCCTGACTCCGTATCTTACACTGTATTCATTACTCCGTTTAGCAAAATGGAGGTAATGATCCTTGCAGTACCTACCGCAGAAGGTCATTTTAAAGAAAGTTTTGCAAACCTCAGAGCACCATATAAATATAAGCCATTATATTTGTTGAACTGAAATAGTTTTTCATACTAAACTATGACTGCTACTTTATTTCCAATGAGGTTTTTTAAAATGCTTTTTTAATGAGAAAAATATGACCAACCTATTGGTAAAAGAGAAGACACACTGGATTCAACATGTACCATATCCTTTTGAGGTGCCAGAGACCCATTATTCCTATCCCCCTCACGATCAAGCTCTGCTTCTACCAGTAAACCCTAGAACTTGGTTCAAGTCAAGTCAAAAAGCATGTATTAATCACCTTTGTTGTTGTTGTTGTGTCATTCTCATTTGTGTCCCTCTCTTTGTGACTCCACTTGGGGTTTTCTTGGCAAAGATGGTGGAGGAGTTTGTCATTTTCTTTTCCAACTCATTTTACATATGAGGAAACTGAGGCAGAAAAAGGTTAAGTCACTTGCCTAGGGTCCCACTGAAATGGCCCTTACAGGTTATCTAGGCCAACTGTCTCATTTTACAGATGATGAAATTGAGGCCTAGAGAGATTCAGTGACTTACATGAGGTCACAACGCGATACTGTGGATCAGACACTTTGCTAAGGGCTGGCTTCAAGCTGTCACCCTCTTGATTGCTTTGACTTAAGGTTCCTTCAGCATCCAGACTGACCTGTAAGAGAGTTTACAAGCTTTTTTCTTCCTTTTACAAGCAAATGGTTCACAGCCTTTCCCTAAGTGTTTTTTTTAAAAAGTTTTTTTTTTTAAATTAATAAACACTAGTGATGGGGAGATGGTAAAAGGAGTTACAGGAAACCAAAGGGAAAAGTCACAATGCCTGCATTGGTCTTTTTTGGTTCATCCTAGTTCTTCATGCATTTTCTAGGAATTCAACCTCTCTATGTTTTTGTCTGAGTTTGTTTCCCTTAGCTCTTCTTTTCAAAGTCAGCTGGCCCAATCCTACCTGCCCTAGGTTCAGTTCAGTGCAACAGTTATGAAGCACCACTTAGTGCTAGGCCTGGAGGATAAAAAGATAAAAATTAACCCATCCCTGCCTTCCAGGAACTCACAATCTCTTGGGGAAGCAATAACATGTACACAAATCAGCATAGTATTGCTGTTAGGTAAGCTGTGCTTCTAGCAAATAGTTTTGATTTGGCAAAGCTATGGGTGTTTAAGCCATACAGAAGCCACTTACTAACCTCTAAATTCTGCGCGTCTAAAGGTCTCATGACAGCACTCCTTTCTACAACATCATCCCCCGACATAAGGCCTTCATCCTCTCTATTGACCTGGTGCCCCCTGTAAGCAGAGTACAGTCACAAGAGCTCAGAATATGGTGCCAGGGAGCCTGGATTCCAGTTCTGGCTCTGCTGCTTACCACGTGTGTTGCCTTGAGTAAATCATTAAATCTCTCCAGCACTCAATTTCATCATCTGTAAAATAAGAGACTTGGCCTAGATAATCTGTAAGGGCCATTTCACCTCTAAATCCTATTATTCTATAATGCTCTCCCTTCTATACCTTTCTTCTGCCCAAGAGGAAAGTCTTCCAAACTCAAGCCATGGGCTTGGGAGAGAATAGAACCTTTTCTTACATATTCCTAGTACTCGCCTTGACTGTCTGGCCTGGTGGGTAAAGCAGTGCTGCCAAATGTTTAAAATAACTGGTACTGCCCTCATTTTTGAAGTTAGTTTCTGTTTGGGGCTGGCAAGTCCAGGGTGAAGTACCTGGGTGGCAAAGTCTGTCCCCAGTTGGGAAAAAGTAGGCTGCCTATCAGTCCTTCTCACTTCTAAGGCTGGCAGTATTGTGAAAAAAACTGCTCTCTTCAGCATTGAAATAACACAAAATTATATGTCCTTGGTTCCACATTTTTTTTTTTGGTGATATCTGTGCAAAGTTTGAGGCAGTTAGGTGGTGCAGAGGATAGAGCACCTGACTTGTAGTCAGGAAGATCTGAGTTCAAATGTGGCCCAAGATACCTACTAGCTGTGTGACCTAGGCAAGTCACTTAACCTTGATTTGCCTCAGTTCCTCCTCTGTAAAATGGGGGTACACTGGAGAAGGAAATGGCAAACCACTCTAAGTATCTTTGCTAAGAAAACCTCCACGGACAATTTCACATGGAGTCAGCCACTACTGAACTGCAACAACAATGCAGAGTTACCCATTCCATAGCCGACCCTAAGTCCCTTTACTTGTACACCAATGTGTAGCACTAAGTCATAGGAGAGTCACAGTGCCAGGGCTGGCACAGTCTCTGATTTTACACTTGAGGGGGCTTTGCTTGGAGATGTTTTCTTCATCCACCATTTCAAGATCTACATTTCAGAACCTTTGAGTCTCATAATTGGTTAATAGGGTGAAAGAGAGGCTGGCCGAGCCAACCTGGAGGTCAGCCTTGCACGTTATCTATCACACATAGCATATGTATATAGCCTGCCTATATAAACTTTACAGGTTCTCCTTTCTTCTCCTGAAATATAGATTTACAAGATGGGCTTCTTGTATAGTGAGGCCTTTTACAAAGTTCAGGAATGTAATAAGCAAGAATGTCACAGTACAGTGTACTTTTAAAATGTACGAACATTTATATCTTTACTTGAAGTCTCTCGTACAGAAGCCTGTTTGTTGCAGCTACGTCACATATATGCTCAAAACTCAGGTTGATGGAGGCAACCAGGGTCCAGGATGCTAATCTAGAGCAAAATGATAGAGGAGGTATATGGGTGTGGGTGACAATTTATAGCCCAAATGAATGATTAAATCAGCCTGAGTTTTCAGGTGTTCTCACAACTGTGTTATGGTTCAGGCGATTTTCATTTGCATCTAAATTCATGACCCCCTTTGGGGTTTTCTTGGCAAAGATATCGGAGTGGTTTGCCATTTCTTCTTCAGCTCATTTTACAGGTGAGAAAACTGAGGCAAACAGGATTAAGTGACTTGTCCAGGGTCACACAGATAGTAAGTATGTAAGGGCAGATTTGAACTCAGGATGAGGAGTCTTCCTGATTCCAAGCCCAGTGCTCTATCCACTGTGCCACCTGTGCCCCCTCACAACCATGTATTCTAGTAAATGTGTTTATTAATACATTTTGAGTTTTCTGCAGTATTCATTCTTTTCTACCATGCTTCATTCCAGATCAACATGTTCATCATTTCTATAGAGCTAGAAGCTTCCACAAAGTGCTAAGATGCAGAGTCTGAGCATCCAGAGTTGAATGGTTTCTGTTGCAGAATACTGGGGATGGTTTTAGGTAACTTTTTGGCCCAGTTGTTTTTGTTGACTTGAACAGTCAACTTTTATCTGCAAAATATAAAAAATAACTCTAGGCACTTTTCATGATTTGTTCTAAATGTGACTGTTAAAATTATTAGTTTTCTTTAAATATGTGCATTTAAAATCCATATCATTAAGTATGATTTTAATTGCAGCTTGGAGCCATTTTTTTAGGTTAATACATTTGCCATTTTATAAAATGAGAAAAAGGGAAATAAGAATCTGTATGGATGAATTTGATTTACACAAAAAATTTTAGCCACATAGTAAAGATAATCAGCATCTTTTCTCCAAAGGGCAAAAAGACAATTTTACTTTGTTGCTTATATATTTATATATTGAAATGGCAAATGGTCACTCTGTTAACTAGGAGTGCTCCAGTGCATAATCTATCAAAAAGCAATTTTTAAGAGTTTTTATTAAATAGTTTCTTATTATAAAACAGATTTGAAAACATCAGCTTTTTTTTTTTTGGTAGTGAAAAGAGCTCTGGACTTGGAACAAGAAGAGACCTAGAAACAAATCCTGCTTCCCACAACTAATAACTGCGTGATCTTCAGTAAATTACGTTGATACTTACTCTGATATTTCATATTCAAAATAGAAATAATAATATTTGTTCTACCTACCCTGTAGTTATTGGGAGGAAAGCATTTTCTCAACCTTAAGACGCTGTAGAAATATGAAAACGTAGGGGCAGCTAGGTAGGGTAGTGGATAGAACACCGGCCCTGGAGTCAGGAAGACCTGAGTTCAAATCTGGCCTCAGACACATAACACTCACTAGCTGTGTGACTCCCGGAAAATCACTTAACCCCAATTACCTCACCAAAAAATAATTTAAAAAAGTATATATGTAAGTGTAAGCTGCTCTATTCAAAGGAGGTCAAAAGGGCCATTATATCTTAAATTATTTATAGCAACACTTTTTTTTTGTAGTAGTAATGAATTAGAAACAAATTAGATGCCCATTGATTAAGAAATGGCTGAACAAGATGGGTTACATGGATGTGATGGAATTTTACTTCCTTGTAAGAAACAATGGAACCAAAAATTCAGGGAGGCCTGGGAAGATTTATATAAACTGATTAAAAGTAAAGTATGCAGAACCAAGAAAACAAAATATATTATACCTACAGCCATAAGTGTTCTGGTAAATTTTTAACAATCAGCTCCCTAAAGAGAAAAAAGAAACCTAGTATGCCAGACACAGTTTAAAATTTAACCTGCATTATATTTTCTCCATCACTTAAGTCTAGATATCAGCAAAACAATAAATCACGTCCTGGTTTGTAGCATTTGCAAATTTCTGAGGTATAAAGGCTCACGCTGAATATTTCATGATCAGTGCTCCAGCTTGGTGTGAGCTGGCTGCAGCACACCCCTGGGTCTACAACCATGTAAACACAAAGAACAACAACGACAGAAATCAGCACTGAATGCTGTGTAGTGACCAAGCTTGGCACTGAAGAAGAGAGAGAAGAATGGACCTCTCTCCCTTCTTTGCAAAGATGGGAAACTCCGGAGGTAGAAGACAGAATAGACTCCCAGACTTGACCGAACTGTTAGTATTGCTGAACTGCTTCCTAGCCCTCTTTTCTTTACTAGTCTTTGTTAAAAAGGACAGCTGTTTTAATGTGTGTGTGTGTGTGTGTGTGTGTGTGTGTGTGTGTGTGTTGAGGCGGCGGGGAGTATGGAAGGCTAGATTGGGAAACGAAGTTGATGTAAAAAAAAAAGCTACCAAAAAAAAATTTTTAATGTAATCTTGTTGTTGTTTTGTTCCAGCCATAACATTTGAGCTGGAAGGACTCTTAGAGATCACCTAATCTGAAACCTTTATTTTAAAAATGAGGGAGGGACTTTCTCAAGGCCATACAGGAAATCTGAATGTAGACACCTACTAGGAACGCACAAATGGATATGCTACGTTATTCAGTCATTTCAGTCATGTCCGATTCTTCACACTCAACCCCATTTGGGGTTTTCTTGGCAAAGATACTGAAGTGGCTTGCCATTTCCTTCTCCAGCTCATTTTGTAGATGAGGAACAAACAGGGTTAAGTGACTTACCCAGGGTCACACAGCTAGTAAGTGTCTTGAGGCCAGATTTGAACTCAGGAAGATGAGTCTTTCTGACTTCAGGCTCAGTACTTTTTTAATGTAATTGACTATAATATGGCACCTTTTAATGTAATCTACCATTATTAAAATCAAATTTTATGTTAAAGTTTTGGCACATTAAAAATGAATTTGAAGAAACATTAGGATACATAACCATGGGATCTGTGCTCTAGAAATTTTTATTGACAACAATAAAATGCTGGTTTGTTGTTTGTGCCTCAAAAAAAAAAAGAAGACTGATATTTTTTAAAAACAGATGAATCTGAGATCCCTACATGAAGGGAAGAGTAAAACTGGTTAATCTGTATTCCTGTTCAAGGCTAAAAGTTTGTGCATGCACAGCATCTTAGGTGATCTCTAAGCATCCTTTCAGCTTGAACATTATAGCTGGAACTGACTAATGTCAAAATCAGCTAACTGATTTCTATCAACCAGTAAGCATAGCTTTAAGGACTTAGATGTTTACTTAACTGGAAGAAATCTCTTCCTAACAATGTAGCTGACCAAGATCAGAGATTCTACTCTTAAGACATACACAGAAAAATCAATCCTATTCTAATGGAGCAGTATCTGTGTGACTTGTCTGTGAATTATTTGCTGTAGTGTTAGTTGAAGCTTTTTTCCCCCTGCAGGGCCATTAACTGCCTCAGCACATGGAACAAATTCAGTTCGAGTGGGATCAGGGAACAGATATGTGGAGGCTGTTTCTGAGAAGGCCAGCTCAGGCTCAGCGCCTACATGGTTTGGATCTCTAGGCCCAGCAGAACAATGTGGGCAGTCCGCCCTAGCCATATGCAATCTTGCAGCTGCAATGATGAAGAAAATTAAACTATGGAAGGAGGGCTTCACGGTGATGGGACCAAACCAGTGGTCACCCAGGCTGAATGAGGGAGGAGGAAGGCATAGGGCCAGACGACCATGAAACATGAAGGCCCATGGGGAAGAAAAATCACCTCCCTCTGCCGACTGTTTTTATTTCTGGAAAGAGGTTCCTTAGAACCATTCTTAAAATCAGGCCTGATTATAAATAAAATACTCTGAGATCTTTGTACTCAAAGTATTATAGCTTGCTAATTCTGAATATGAGATGCAACCTTTTTGCTATGCTCTTTAGGGTTGAAATTGTACCATATTCTTTCAAAAAGTTTTCTTCAGTTTGAAGCAGCTGAGGGTCAAAGAATAGTATGACCTCAGCACTGTGGACATTTTCATAATCTTTGTAGAATATTTAATAAAATAAGTATTCATTGACTTTGAATAGGAAAACATTCTCATTGGAGCATTTATGAGTGAATAAGTATAAGTATATATGGCAGGGCAGAACACTGAAGTACCCCCTTGAGGTCGTGCCTTAGGAGGATCAGCTGAAGCAATCGGGGTTGTATAAGATTGGAGAAGGGGTCAAGTGGTGAGTGGATAGAGCATTGGGCCTGGAGTTGGGAAGACTCATCTTCCTGAGTTAAAATCTGGCCTCAAACATTTACTGGCTGTGTGACCCTAGCCAAGTCACTAAACCCTGTTTGCCTGCTTCCTCAACTATAAAATGAGTCAGAGAAGGAAATGTAAAACACTCCCGTATTTTTGCCAAGAAAACCCCGAAAAATGGAGTCACAAAGGGTCAGACACAACTGAAAATGACTAAACAACGAGGTTGGAGAAGAGACACCTTGGGGCATGTGGGGAGGAAAAGAGGAAACGTGATAGAAATAGTCAAGTATTTGAAGATTATGGTTACATGGAAGAGAGATTAGATTTCTGCTTGGCCTCTGAGGTGAGACTGGGATTACTGGGTGGAAGTTGCAGGAAGGTGAATTTAGGCTTGATCTGAAAAAAAAAATGCTAATAGCTCAAAATGAAATGGGTTGCCACGGGAGGTATAGGACTCTCCTTTACTAGCAGTCTTCAATTAGAGCCTGGCTTTGGTTTAATTGTTGTCCTTGGTTCTTGAAGAGGACCAAAATGACATCACTATGCCAGAGTCAAGTTTCAGTGTATTGGGCTGTGGCTGCTTAGACTAATACGAGCTCGAAATCTTCTACCACAGGTCAGGCACAGATAGTCCACGTGAACATCTGGGGTGGATTCTCTGAATTTGCGCCTCTCACATTTCTTTTGAGCTATTTCAGTTCTGCTTTGCTCATAGAGCACAGCACCTTTTCTGATCTGGGCACGCCGTGATGAGCGGTCCTGTACCAGTGTCTCCCACGTCATACAATCCATTCCAAAGTTCTAAAGAGGGACCTTGAGAGTGTCCTTGTATTCTGACTCCATGTGAATGCTTGCCTTGTGTGAGTTCTCCATAAAAGTCTTTTTTGGCAAGTGAACATTTTGCATTAAAACATCGTGGCCAGCCCATTGGAGTTGCACTCTCTGCAGCAGAGTTTGAATGTTGGCAGTTTAGTTTGAAAAAGTCCCTCAGTGTCTGGTATCTTATCCTGCCAGGTGGTCTTCAGACTCTTCCTAAGACAATTCAAATGGAAGCGATTCAGTTTCCTGGCATGGCACTGGTATACTGTCCAGGTTTCACAGATATGCAACAATGAAGTCAGCACAATGGCTCTGTAGACCTTCAGTTTGGTCTAATACCTCTTCTCTCCCACACTGTCCTTCAGAGCTTCCCAAAAGCCTGGCATGGTGCGGTGGATAGAGTACTCATACAAGTGTTCAGATACACTGGCTTCCATTTAGCTGCATGGCCACAGGTAAGTCACCACCTCTCTGAGCCTCAGTTTCCCCATTGTCAGGGAATTAATAGGTACCTTTTTCACAGGGTTTTTGTGGGGCTGAAATAAGATAATACATGTAAAACACTTTGGAAACTTATACAAATGTCTGCTCTATACAAATGTCATTATTGTGTTGTTATAGAGAGAATTCTTATTGAGTTGCAGATTGGACTATATGCCCTCTGAGGTGAGAATGGGCAAGATACTATATCTCCTCCTCACTCCAGACTTACTTTCTCCCCCTTTTCTTCTAATCCTAAATTCTTCAGAGAGGAGTGATATGCCTTTCCCATCGTTTCAATACAAAAAGAACCACAGATAACTGCTAACTCTTGAGTAAAACGAAGCTTTCATTTAGCTCATTGCCAGTTTTGCAAATTGAGATTAATAGGAAAGAGAATGTTGAGTGGGAAAATACATTTAGTAGTTTTCCTGCCTTGTATTACCTTTCCCTTTCTGAAGTAACTCAGACCGAAGGGTGACTTTAGTTTGGAATTCGCTTGAACAAAAACACCACCTAGTGGTAGTTAGAAATATGTTGACCAGAGATATACCAGAGGTCTTTGATGCAGGAAAAACTGAAAACTTTGGTAATCAGTGGACTTCCCAATGCCGCTTCAATAAAAAACCTTTAACTTTGAGGTTTCAGCTCTAATTTTTAGCTTCAACTACAAACGTATTTATGTGAATAGGCTGCTGTTGTGAAAGGTAACATTTAAAAAGGGCCAGTTCTATAAGAACAAATTTCAAGTATTTGGGTGCCTGGCAGGCGATGAGTAGCACCTTTGGAGGATACAGTGGTGGAGTGTAGAGGATGCTTTCAAGTGGTTTACAAGTCTAGTTCTAGAGGCAAGATAGCTGCACAAGTCTACATTTGCATGCACAGGAACACAGGCCCAAGTACATACACACACACACAATAGGCTAAACACTAATTCTGTCATGGCATCCTTTCAGCTTCAGCTACAGATTAAGGAGACAGGACAAGAGAAGTCAAACACAGATGGGAGAATCAAGCAGTTATTAGGGGACAAAAGCAGGTAGGCACACTGGTCAGGGTAAACACAGAAATCAATGGTCTGAGCAGGCAGTAGGTTGGAAACAGGAGGCAGGACAAAGCAAGACTTAAGAAGGTAGCATGGAAATGTGTTTGAAGAAGATTCATCTAAAACTAGTGTGTAAAACAGATCTTAGAGGGGAGAGATTAGATGCAAAAAGACCATTAAAGAGGTGATCACAATAATCCACGAGTGAAGTAATACTATAGATTATTTTCATGACCCAGAAATAGTCCTGCTTTCACAAAGCTCTTATTTTTTAATTTTGATTTTTAGAGTCCATCTACTTAATGACTGTCTTCTTGCTGGTTAGGGACTTTTTGGAGTGATAGAAATTGTTTGCTTTTTAAAAAATTTATATTTGTGGATAAGAATACTTCTTGCATATAGGTGCATAGGTTGATGAGTAGTTCAAGATGATATAATAATTTGTTTTGTGTGTATATACTATATCTATTGAATTTGTTTAGAAATTAATGAATAAAGCATTTGTTAATTATTTGCTATGTGCAAAGCACTGTATTTAGTGCCAGGGAAACAAAAAAGTAAGACAATCTCTGCTCTCAAGGAGCTCACATTCTGATGGGAGAGACAACACACATGGAAAGTGAGCTGCAAGTCAGATGGAAAAATCCCATAGTCCTTAGGATGCAGCAGCAAAAAAAATGGCAATGCCTCTTCTTTGCTGTCACTTCCATGGTCATATTAGTTTCTGATGTTGAACCATTTGACTCTGGATTGGAAGCACTACTGTTCCAAAGACTCTCGGGTTCAGGGCCCTGTGTTGTCTCCATCAGGGTCTGAGAGAGACTCTGGTCAAGGTGGTCCTGGTGGTTTGACTTGCCTCGTACAGGCTGCCTCCTATTTCTCTGTCTCAGGGTACGCTGTTGCTTCAGCTAGGATGACTTGGGGGTGCTGTGAATGGTAGTTGGTTGGCAGTTGGTGGGGATGCCTGGCACCTTCTCTATATTAACTGCTTCCCTGGATGATGGTTGTGAGGACTGGGCTGGAAGCAGGACCAGTCCTGGGGGGTGTTACTGCTCCCATGACTTTAGTGCCTCTACGCCCATTGGTGACAGTTGGTTAGCAGTTCCTGCTGGAGGTGATGAAGAAAGTGGATCCCTTCTCCACAATGATTTCTCCCTTCAATAATGTCTGTGAGGCCTGAGCCAGAAGCAAGTTTGGTACTTTAGGGGCACTGTTATTCTCAAGGCTCCTGGGTTCAGGGTCCTGGGCTATCTCAATCATGGTTTGAAAAGAGACCGTGGTCAAAATGGTGGTGGAAGTGGTCTGACTTGCTTGGTATATCATGTACAGGTTGTTTTTCCCCAAGCAGAATGTAAGCTCCTTGAGGGCAGAGTCTTTCATTTTTATTTGTTTTTTTTATCCCAGTGCCTAGCACAGTGCCTGACATATATTTTAGGTGCCTAATAATTGCTTATTGGTTGAATAAATGGGCCCTTGGTCATGGCAGGCAAGAAACCGGCTGTGCAAAAACAATACAACATAATTTGTTAAGTTCCAACCTTGAGCAGCTATATAATGGGTGGATTGGAGAGGGGAGAGGCTAGATGCAGGGAACCCAGTAAGGATATTATCACATCCAAACATGGGATGATGAGGGCCTGAACCAGGGTGGTCATGGTGTGAGTAGATAAAAAGGGACAGATTTAAGAGATGTGAGGGAGAATCAGGAAGACAGCCATTGATTGTATATGGAAGTGGATTAGTCTGAGGCTGGGTAACCAAAAGAATGGAGCTGCCCTCAACAGATCTAGGGAAGTTGGGAGGGAGGGAAGAATTAGGGGAAAAGATAAGGAGTTCTGTTTTGTACATGTTGCGTTTGAGATGCCTCTATGATGTCCAGGTAGGGATGTTCTGGAGGCAGCTAGGTGGTTCAGTGGATAGAGTACAACTCTTAGTCAGGAGATATTTGAAACCCGCCCAAGACACTTACTAGCTGTGTGACCTTGAGCAAGTTCCTTTTACCTCCTTGCACCTCAGGTTCCTCATCTGTAAAATGGGTATAATGATATCACCTACCCCAGAGGATTGTATTGAGGATCAAATGAGTTAACAAACATAAAGCACTTTGCAAACCTTAAAATTAAAGATGAATATAAACCCTCGCTATGATTATGATTGTGATGATGGTGATGACGTCCAACAGGCTGTTGGTGATGCAAGGCTGAGCCTCAGAGGAGAGGGCTAGGTAGTCATCTTTATGGAAGCGGTAGTGGAATCAAAATCTGGTGAGTTGATGAGTTCATAGAGAGACAAACTGACCAACAGAGGGTGAGGGTTTGTGTGTGCATATGTGTTTGTGTATATGTGAGTATGTGTACGTTTAGGTGGAGAGAGAAAAGGCAGTAGGTGCTATTTTTATCCCAGTTGTACAGATTAGGAAACTGAGGCAAACAGAGGTAAAGTAGTTTGCCGAGAGGCACGCAGCTCCTGAACCTCTCAGGCTGAATTTGAACTCAGGGCTTCCTGACTCCGGGTCTAGTATTCTTTCCACTGAGTCACCTAGTTGTATCTGTGATTTTAATCATGTTATCAAATGAGATCACATACGTACAGGACTTTGCAAACCTAAAGTGCTAAATAAATGCATGAATGCTAGCTATCATTATTATTATTAAACAAGTACTTCTGCTAAAGCAGATTGTAACTCCTCTATGTGTCCTAATCCTATGGAATTCTTCCATGTGTCTTTTCATAATACCTTTATTTATGTCTCCAATGTGCAATAGTGGCAGGATGATTCCTTTAATATCTCAAGGGCACCAAAGCTGAACTCCCAGTCTCTCCTTTATTTGGGGCTGCCCCCCTTCTTTTCTGGTCACACAAGTTCTTAATTATGGCTTTTATTCTACTTCTCAAGCATAAGGTATCATTAGTACTTCCTCCTGCCATAGGTTTTCCATTACCCTTTGGATCACCTACCATTTTGCATTCTTCTCAAGATCATTGTGTTCCATTATTGGTTGCAATATGTTAATATGAAAAAGACTGATTGTTGTCCTAACAAACAGTATAGGATCATTGATATGCTATATAGTTTCACCCTATATAGTTTCATCTGAGAACAGATATAAATTTAAAAATTATTTTTTAAAAATCTTACTTTAGGATTTCTTTTTGTTAAATGTTGCTAATGGGTAAAAAAAAAAAACCAGCAACAACAATGATTCAACAATTAAGAAATGGAAGGTCCTTAAATATCACCTAGTCCAACCACCACTCCCCCGCCTTTTTTTTTTTTACAGATGAGAAAACTGAGGCTCATTTAGGTTAGGGGACTTTCCTGAGGTCCCATAGGTTGTAAGTGGCAGAGTCAGCATTCAGGTAGAATGGAGAATATATATCTTTGGCAGGTCTCACATTATCTTTGCAAAAATGGAACAAGTTCTACAGCATAAAGAAAATTATGAGTAGTTATAAAAAGGTATACATATTTAAAATGTATATTCTATACCCTAATGCAATAAAAATAGCAATCAACAAAGAAAACACAAGCAAATGATACAACCCTAAATAGAGAATAATGTTACATTTGAAAATTAAGGTAAACTGAGAGACAATGATCAATTTATTAGGCTAGCAGTAACCAGTAAATTGGGTCAGTGGCCCCCCTCAAAGACCAAAGACCTTGAGATAGGGCTTACCAGCCCTCATATAGTTTGGGGGAATACAGAATTGGGTAGGTGGGGAAGACAATGGGATTGGTTGGATATTGGGAATGAGGGGCTAGCAACAACCCCCTCCTTCCCTCCTGTGACTAAGAAATGCTCATTGTTTGAGTCCACCTGCAAGGTTGGAGATAAAGGACCAGACTTCTTTGGATAACAAACTGGACATCCTTGAAGGTTAGTTTGGTGGTATGAAGGTACTAGACCAGACTCCCTGGTGTCCACCTGCATCTCTCAAGAATAACAAATTTTCTTCGGGCAAGAATAGAACAGTGATTAGCAGGAGAACTGAACTTCTAAACTTAGTTCATAAGCAAAGAGACGAAGAAGTGTGGCTTGAGCAATCCTACAAAATGGGGCAGTAATATAGGATAGGATCAATTATGGAATAGAACCAATTATAAAATGATACAGAATCAATTAACTTCTTCAGTAGGTAAACGGGATTGTAAATAATGACAGGATCAAAGAACAAACCATAGAAATAAGCATCAAACAAGTATTTATTCAGCACCTACTATGTTCCAGGCCCTGTTATGTGTTGGAGCACTAAAATAAAAATGAAATAGTCCCTGCTGTCATAGAGCTTCCATTCTATTAGGAGAGACAACACATACACATATAACACGTACATATATAAATACAAACAGAATAAATAAAAGTAAAAGCAAGAGAAATCAAATAATTAGGGAAATAAATAAAAGCTCTTCTTGTAGAACTGAATCTGGGAAGAAATAAAGGATTCTACAAGACAGTGAAGAGAAAAAAGAGAGTCCTGGGCATGAGGATATGGGAAGATGTAGGACTGCATGTCAGCAAGGCCAATTTACCTAGGTTATAGAGTGTGAGAAGAGGAGTGACATAGGTTTGGGCTAGATTGTAAAGGGCCTTTAAAAATAAGCGGAGGAATTAATATTTTATCCTGGAACCATGCTTAGACCTACAAATAAGGAAAATCATTTCAGCAGCTATGTTGTTGTCGTGTCTGATTCTATGTGACCTCCACACATGACGTTTTCTTGGCAAAGATACTGGAATGGTTTGTATTTCCTTCTCCAGTAAGTCCCCATCTTATAGATGAGGAACTGAGGCAGATAGGGGTTAGGTGACTTGCCCAAGGTCACAAAATGAGTGTCTGAGGCCAGATTTGAATTCAGAATTTTCTGACTCACTGCACCATCTAGCTACCTCATCATTTCAGCAGCTGTGTAGAGGATGATTTCAAGTAGAGAGAGACTTAATTTCATGGGACCAACTGAGTGACCATTGCCATAGTCCTGGTAAGAATTGATAGGGACTGGAACTAAGGTCTATAGCAGTGGTCACCTGATTGGTCCCACTAAGTCAAATCTTGACATTTCTTTCTTCACAGTATCACTCTCTTCTGTGCCATGCTTACTACTCTCAGAGCAACTGGTTCAATATAAGAGAATAAGGAGTTGTAGATAATATTTCTGTGAATATGACAAGACAATGTCCACTGGAGTTTTGTCTTCATTGAGAGAAAATTTTGTGGAAAACAGTGACTTCAGTTTAGACTGGATTGGATTAATTTTAAATGTATAATCATTTTGGCTTTATACCGTATCTGAAGAAAGTACTAAAAGAGACATGTCATACTTCATATTACATATTACAGTTTTATAGATAATCTTAGAAAGTCTTAGTTGGGTGGAAATGAGGCAGAGAATAATGAAGTAGGGGAAATCTCAGGATCCAGGAGCAGTAAGGAGCATTCCCAATACTGTACATTTCACCTGCAAATAGCTTGACTCTGGGTCCACCTGCTGGTGCAGGATTTTTTCTACTGCAATTGTAAGAGAAGGTACTTTCTTACATCATAGTTTGCATTTCTTTTTCAGGCTGAAGAGTCAATGACACTTTTTTCCCTCTCAATATTCCTTTTTTCCCCCTCTGGCTACAGGTGGGTTTTCTTCCCCAGAAACAATGAAAAATTCCTCAATGATCTTGTAGATGGTATTAAAACAATTTGAACTATTCAGTAATGCTTAATCCACGTCCAAGTGACCTGAACTAACACCAGTATTATTTCTGGTGTCATCTATTGAGCAGGCACAATAGAAATCTAACTGCCAGTTATTTTTCTTTCTTTCTTTTTTTTTCTTTTTTTGGCTTCTTTGGCCAGTCGATGGGGTTAAGTGACTTGCCCAGGTTCACACAGCTTATGAGTGCCAAGTGTGTGAGACCAGATTTGAGCTCGGGTCCTCCTGACTCCAAGGTTGGAGCTCTATCCATTGCACCACCTAGCTGCCCCTTTTATTTTATTTATCAATTGATTAATTAATTAATTAATGTTTTTCTGCAAGGCAATGGGATGAAGTGACTTCCCCAGAGTCACACAGCTAGTAAGTGTCAAGTGTCTGAGGTCACATTTGAACTCAGGTCTTCCTGAATCCAGGGCCGGTGCTATATCCACTGCGCCATCTAGCTGGCCCCTAGTTATTTTTCTAACTGCCTTTAAATTTCAGACTTCAAAAATCCAACCCATAACTAACAAAAGTTAGTCTCTTTCTTTCTCCTGGGTGCAAATGACATTATAAATTAATCCATAAACAGGTAGGAGCTGGGAATTAGAATAGACCTGGGGAAGCTGATAGATCTACAGCGTGGGACGTAGGCAAGTATGAGAGGAAGGATTTGTATTTAGATCCTCTGACTGCAGAGCCTGTGCTCTGTTCTCTGTCCTAGAATGCTAGTTTCAGAGAACCTCTTCCTGTGTTCTGGGGCAGTTAGGTGGCGCCATAGTGCATTGAGTGCTGGCCTGGAGTCACAAAGACTCAAGCTCCCTGAGTTCACATCTGGCCTCAGATACTAGCTGTGTGAGCCTGGGCAAGTCACTTAATCCTGTTTGCCTCAGTTTCCTCATCTGTCAAATAAGCTAGAGAAGGAAATGTCAAACCACTCTGGTATCTTTGTCAAGAAAACCCCAAATGGGGTCACAAAGAGTTAGACACGACTGAAAAACAACTGATGCGAAGTGAGGTAGAATAAGAAAAACAGTGGGACTATCACAATGTAAGGAGAAATAACAATTTAGGGTGATTTTTTTCAAATGATTCAACAGAATTCCTTTACATAAAAATCCCCTTAGTCCACACAAGACATAAAGTCACAAAACTTCTATTAAATGTAATCTTTCCTATACATATCTGTCGTTATAGCAGTGGATGTCTGTATGATGTTTTAACACCTCTGAGAGCTAGGCACTAGAGGAATGATTCTCTCCATTTGACACTTGACCTGAAGAAATCAAGGCTCAAATAAGGTAAGTCACAAGGTCTCATGTCATAAATACCTGTTGGACATTTTGGACAAGGTGTTCTGGAGGCATCACAAGGTCCAAAGTAAACTTGTTCTCTTTATTTTCCTTTTATTGCCTTTGAACGTCCCTGTTTCTGTTGAGGATACCACCATTCTTTCAGTCACAGAGGTCTGCAATCTCAGACTCAGCCTTCGCTACCCACTCTCTCTCACCCTCCTATCCAGTCAATAGCCTATCTTATTGATTGTGCCTCCACAACCTTTCTTACATCTGCCTCTTTCTCTCCACTCACAAAGCCACCACCATATAATTGACTTTCCTGCCTCATCTCTCCCTTATCCAATCCATCCTCCAAATATCTTTCAAAGTGGTTTTTCTAAAGTGAAAATCTGACCATGTCATTCTCTTTCAAAGTTAACTCCACTGGCTCCTTTATTACCTTTAAGATCAAATATAAATACCTCTGTCTGGCATTTTTAACCTTTCACGAATTGGTTCCAACCTACTTTTCCAGTCTTATTATACATTACTCTCCTTCGTTAACTTTAGTTTTAGCCAAATCTGCTTTCTTACTCTTCTTCACACACATTTTCTCTCGCATCCCCATACCTCATGCCTGGAATGCATTCCATCCTCACCTTTACCTCTTAGAATACCTAGTTGCTTTCGAAGCCTAACTCAGATGTCACCTCCTCAATGAAGCATTTTCTGATCATCCCAGCTTCTAATGCCCCTCCTTCCAAAATCGCCTTGTATTTATTTTGGATATACTAATATATATAATCTCTGCCAGTACAATGCAAGATCCTTACCTGTGTGACTTTAGACAAACTACTTAATGCCCTGAGTCTCAGTTTCTTTATTTGTAAAATGAGAGGGTTTGATTAGATGTCCCTTGAGGTTACTTCCAGCTCCATGTCCATCATCCTATGATACTCTGACTGTTATACTTTTGTCTTTATATTCACAGCAGCTGAGCACTTAGTAGGTTTTTAATAAACACTTATTAATCAGTGGCACACATCATTATCACCATCATCATCATCACCATCATCACCACCATCATCATCATCATCATCATGGTTATTGTTGGGATTCAAACCCAAGCCTTCCTGAGTCCAAGTCTAGTTGTCTGTCCACTATATACCATAAAAATCTAATTTACCCACCATCATTGAGGAATGAGGTATACCAAATAAGTGGTTTTTTCCATTAAATGACAGAAACACAGAAGTAACATAGCAGAGATAGCTAGGTTGTTCAGTGGGTAAAACACTGGACTTACAGTCAGGAAGACCCGAGTTCAAACCCAGCCCAGACACTTACTGACACTCTGGACAAGTCGCTTAACCTCTGCCTGCTTCGGTTTCTTTATCTGTAAAATGAGGATAATAATAGCACCTACATCCCAGTGTTGTTGTGAGGATAAAATGAGATAATATTTATAAAGTGCTTTGTAAACCTTAAAGCACTATAATAAGTGCTAGCTATTATTAATGGATGGAGATTTAGAGTCAGGAAAACCCAGATTCAAATCCTGCCTCTGTCAGTAAGTATCTGTATGACCCTAGGCAAATCAATTACTCCAACACGTCTCAGCATATAGATCCAGTGCTGACATATGGCCAGGAAAATTTCAAAGTGGTGTAATTCCTGTGTCAGAATTTTATTTAAATTTATTTAAAATTTTAATTTCAAAATGGTGTCATTCTTATGAGATGAAATAGTGTATTTGCAGGGCTTCTTAAACTTATTCCACTCGAGACCCATTCAGCACTTCTTAAACTGGGGGGAATGGGGGATGGGAGATCTCAACACACAATTTAAGAAGCATTGAATTATAAAACACCTTTGCAAACACTTAGGTGCCAGTAGTAAAACCCATGGGAAAACAAATACCCAACATTTAGGCAATAAGCAAACAGGAACTAAGGGTACTAATATGAGCAAAATTTGACCTAAGGGATATCATTGAGACTTGGTTGGTTGAAACTCATGACTGGGCCTTGGCTCTGGATAAGTAAAATATATTCAAAAGAAACAAGAGATAAAAGGTTCAAGGGTGTGGTACCTTTGCTTATCAAGAAGCATGAGGGAGCTTATTTGAGTGAAGGTCAATGGAGGGAGAAACAAGTGATTTTACCACAGGCATACAGTACAGACCACCTAGAGAGGAAATAGATGAAAATAGATCAAAAGCCTGGAACAGAGGTGTGATGGAAAGAATCTAATTTTCTTGGCATCTGCCGGGATCTCTCTCTGTCTCTCTATCCCTCTGTCTCTGTCTGTCTGTCTCTCTTTCCTTTTCTCCCTCCTTCCCTCCCTCCTTTCTTTCCCTCTCTTTCTCTCCTCTTTTCTTCTCTCTCCCTTTCTCCCTCCTTTCGTCTCTCCCTCTCCCCCCTCCCTCCCTTTAAAAAAAATCAATTGTATTTCATTTTTCAGGTCCACATTCTTTGTCTTCTTCCCCACACCCAATCTTGAGAAAATAAGAAAAACAAAACCCCTGTTGCAAACAGTCAAGCAAAAGTAGTTCCTACACTGGCTGTGCTGCATGCACCTCTTCCCCATCCTCACCTCCCTCCCTGTTAGTTATCTCAGTCTGCACTCTGAATCTATTCCCTCTCTATCAGTAGCATGCTCCATTATGAATGAACCCTTTGGAATTGTGGTTGGTCATTATGTTGATCAGAATTCCTTTCAAAACTATTTGCCTAGGGGCAGCTAGGTGGCAGTGGATAGAGCACTGGCCCTGGAATCAGGAGGACTTGAATTCAAATCCACCCTCAGACACGTAACACTCACTAGTTGTGTGACCCTGGGTAAGTCACTTAACCCCAATTGCCTCACCAAAAAAAAAAAAAAACCCAGTTATTTGCCTTTATAATATTGCTATTGTATAAAATTATTCTCTTCGTTCTCACTTCACTTTCCACCAGTTCATACAAGTTTTCCCAGATTTCTCTGAAACTCCTTCCTTCATAATTTCTTACAGCACAGTCAACTAATAACTTCTTGATTTGTCTTAGCGACAATTTCATCCTTTAAAAGGTGAATGAACCAATAAGGGGAAATTCTATTCTGACTCATTGCTGGTGTGGAAATGATGAGAACCCTTGGGAGTTCCCTCCTAGAATTTGACATAGAGAAGAAAAGGAAATCTGGGCATAGTCTTATATGTACCCTAGTTTTGGAGAAAGGGGATTTCAAAGGATTCAGAGAAAAGATACGTAAGATCCCATGGACTAAAATTCCACAAAGTTAACCCAAGAGGAGTGAGAGATGCTATATAGTACAGGGTCCTTAACCTATTTGTTGTCCATTGGTCTCAGATTTCAGGGCATCCCTGAATGGGATGGGGGGTGGGAATTATATCTTTTTCACTAACTTCTAACTGGAATTTAGCATTTCCTTTAGTTATGTAAAAGCATTTGTTCTTAGAAAGTATTCATAGGCTTTAGCCAGACTTCCAAAGGGATCCATGACACACACACACAAAAGTTTAGGGACCCTGGTTCTAGAATGAAATTCTGAAGACATAAATAGAAGTGATTTCATTGAGAAAGAAAGTGGGATTTGTCTGAAGAGACATGTATGGTTGCATAGAAACTCATCAACCTGTTTATAGTTAAATTTAAAATGTCTGGAAGATATAAGCAAAGTGAGGTAACCAGGAGATAAATGTCCCAGTATGGCACAGTCCTGTACCAATAGTGTTGAATGCTAAAGTTCAGAATGAGCTAAGGACAGTGAGGAAAGGTAGGCATAAGGTAGAAGTAGAATTAATAATATCAAAAGAAAAAGGAGGAGCAAAGAATTGATAGGATCTTTGCTTTGGGTGGACAGAATGATGACAACTGACTAAAAAGCAAAATTGATCAATTCCTTTTTTGTTTCTTCTTTTTCTTGCTAAACAGAATGAAATTTGCCCTGGAAATGACAGAACAAAAATGACAAGGAGGAACTTGATAGCCATTATAAGTAAGTGGATATCTAGTTGGCCAAAATGAATTAGTCACTACTGGTTCAATGTCAGTGTGTCAGGAGAGCCTTGTGGAGGACCTGAGGGATCTGTATTTATCCTGGGCTGCTTAACACTTTTCTCCATGACTTAAATAATGGCAATATGCTCGTCAAATTTGCTGATGACACAAAGCTGGGAGGGACAGGGAGATAACATACAAGATGACAGTCAGGATACAAAAAGACCTTGACAGGCAAGGGCACTGGGTTGAATCTAACAAGGTGGAATTCAATAGTGATCAAGGTCAAGTCTTACACTTGGGCCTGGGAGTTCTGAAGAGAGATCTACAAGTCCAATCTAAATGTAATGTGGTATCTGACAAAGCCAAGGAGATCTAGGGCTGCATTAAGAGGGGTGTAGCTTATGGGAATGAAGGAAGGTGGGAGGGAAAGGAAGTGGAAGGGGAAATAAGGGTGTTTATATTCCCACTATACTCTGCATTTATCAAACCTCACCTGCAGCGTTGTGTTAAGTTCTGGGCACAGGCACACACAAAGGCACAAATTCAGTCTCTCCCTGTCTACTGACTGGCTCTTCCCTGCTGCCTAAAACAACAACAACAACAAAAGCGCTCTCATTTGATCCTTCCATTCCTGCTCCCTAGCAATGAGATAATAATTAAACCCACAGGAGCTGATGAGAAGAGAAGAAGACCCAGGGCGGAGTCTCCATAAACACCTGTAGTTCTGGGGCATGATATGAATGATGAACCAGTAAAGGGGAGAGATGAAGCATTTATATGGCATCTGCTATTTTCCAGTAACTGTGTGAAGCACTTTACAATATTATCTCATTCAATCCTCGCAATAACCCTGCAAGGTAAGTAGTATTATTATCTCCATTTTACAGTTGAGGAAACTGAGGCAAAAGAGGTTAAGTGGTTTGCCCAGTGTCACACAGCTAATGAATGATTGGGGCCAGATTTGAGGAGACTGAGGAGGAGCAAACAGTGTCATGAAAACTGAGAGAGGAGAGGGCATCCAGGAGGAAAGACTTGTCAGCAATTGTCAAATACATGATAGACACCGAGAAGGGTGAGGACGGAGAAAATACTACCAGATTTGGCAATTAAGGGATCTTTGCTAACTGAAGAAAACAATTTCAATTGAGTGATCAGGTTGGCAGCTAGATTTTAAATGGTGGAAGAGTGGAGGAGAGGAAGGGAAGTGAAGGCGGCAATTATAAACAGGTTGGGTTTTTTCCCCCCAGAAGTTTGGGTGAGAAAGAAAGAAGAGATATGGCAGCAAAGGGAATGGTAGGGTCAAATGCAAGTTTTTGTTCTTTTTGTTTTTAAGGAGAGGGGATAGTTGGGCACGTGTAGTAGGAAAGGGGGCAGCTAGGTGGCGCAGTGGATAGAGCACCAGCTCTGAAGTCCGAAGGACCTGAGTTCAAATCCGGTCTCAGACCAAACACTTGTCACTAACTAGCTGTGTGACCCTGGGCAAGTCACTTAACCCCAATTGCCTAAAAAAAAAAATTGAGAAAGTAGTAGGGAAGGAGTCAGTAGATAGAGAGAGGTGGAAAATTAGAGAGGGAAGTGGGATAATTAAGGAGCAAGTAGCTGGAGAAGATTGAAGGAGATAGGATCAACAACCATTCTGGACAGCAGTTTGGAATTATTCCCAAAGAGCTATAAAACTGTGCATACACTTAGATTCAGCAATACCACTACTAGGTCTTATCCCAAAGAGATCATAAAAAATGTACAAAAATATTTATAGCAGCTCTTTTTGTGGTGGCAAAGAGTTAAAAATTGAGTGGATGCCCATCAGTTGGGGAATGGATGAACAAATTGTGGTATATGAGTGTGATGGAATACTATTGTTCCACAAGAAATGATGAGCAGGCAGATTTCAGAAAAACCTCAAAAGACTTACATGAACTGATGCTGAGTGAAGTGAGCAGAACCAGAAGAATACTGTACACAGTAACAGCAATATTGTGCAATGACCAACTTTGACAGACTTAGCTCTTCTCAGCAATGCAATGATCCAAGACAATTCCAAAAGATTCATGATGGAAAATGCTATCCACATCCAGAGAAAGAACTACAGAATCTGAATGCAGATTAAAGCATACTATTTTCTCTCTCTCTCTTTTTTTTTCTTTCTCGTGGTTTTCCTCTTTTGTTCTGATTCTTCTTTCATAACATGGCTAATGTGGAAATATGTTTAATATGATTGTACATGTATAGCCTATATCAGATTGCATGCTGTCTTGGGGAGGGGGGAGGGAGAGGGAGGGGGAAAAATTTAGAATTCATACTCTTATAAAAGTGAATGTTGAAAACTAAAAATAAATAAATATATATATTTTTAAAAGAAATAGGATCAAGAGCACTTGAAAAAGGGGATGGCCTTGGCAAGGAGAGGAGCCACCTCGTTATCAGAGAATAGGTTAAAGGAGAATAGAATCTGGAGGATGGTATCTAGAAATTTTGAGATCAAGAGAAGAGAAGAACAGGTAGCTCAGGGAGAAAAGTGAAGGGGAAAGTCTTCAGTGTAGAGAGAAGGGCAAGAGAAAGTGTCAGGTTTATCAAGCTCAAATCCCCAGTCTTCTGGTTGTGCTCACTTTCCTAATCTTCTAATCCATTGTCCAAGTCAAGAAATAGTTTGAAACTCTCACTTCTGGCTCTAAGCCTACATCTCCTAAACTACACCCAATGCCTGGAAGGCCTCCTTCCTCTCTCAACTAGTTCAAATCTCTTCCTTTCATTGTTGAAACAGCTCATGGAAGTTCCACTTCCTTCAAAGAGCCTCTTAGTAACTGGAAAAAGAAATGGCAATCCCAGCCCCCATCCACCCTCTCTCAATGTGTCATTGCTTCCTGTAAATTCACACTCCAGAAAATACACTACTTTGCTTGCCAAGGTGACAGATGCTTTGCTTATATATTTAAATATTTATTCAATGTGTTAATTTCTCCATCTACTTTGGCACAGAGGGACTGTGAGCTGCACTAGTGGAAGGAGTGGCTACACCAATAACACCAATATGGATTTTTGAAGTTGATTTTGATGCTGTGTCATTAATGTCAGTCTGCAAAGATACTATCTGTCCCAGACTATATAGATGCCTTGAAAGAGTGCACTGTATCTATTTGTGGAGTCAGCAAGGTACAATGGGGGGAAAATACTTTATTTAGAGTCAGAAGACCTGGGTTCAAATTCCAGCTCTTCCAATTTATTTACCTGGATGACTTTGGGCAAGTTCACTTAACCTCTCTGGTCCTCTTCCTCATCTGTAAAACAATGGGATAGGATTAAATGACCTTTGAAGTCTCTTCCAGCTCTAAAGCTGCGAACCTACGAACGATATAATATGATGCATCTGCGGACAGGGACTTAACAAATTATCTAATATTAGAGCTGAGAGGAATATGAGAGATCTTCTGGTCCAATCTCCTCATTTAACAGATGAGGAAATTGAGACCCAGAGAAGGCAACTGACTTGGCCAAAGTCACACAGCTAGTTAGACTTTAAAAAAAAAGAAATCGTGGCACAACTAATTTGGGGACTTCTCTATTGAATTGGCAAATTACATTTCCCAGGAAGAACTCACCCTGCTAGACTTTTTTCTCTGCTTTTGATATAAAGTCTTTCTTGTTTAGATTGAATTTCAGCGAATTGCTTTTTCAGTGGGCTCTCTAATACATTCCAGGGAAATGAAGCCTTGTAGCAGGAAGAAAAAAGAAAAAGAGAAAAAGGAATGACCTGAAAGTTATCAACATGATGGTAACTTTTCCCTTGAAGTTCAGCCATATCAGCTCTCCCCACACCATCTCTTTAATTGCCTCTCATCCCAACAGAACAGGGATGAGAAGAACATAAATCCCCTAGGGCCTGACAGAATAGAATTTGTTTAATCTTATCCCTTTGGGTTTCCTTAAAGAAAAAGAAAAGAACAGTATATAATTTTGGATAATTCAGATAAAAAAGAGTTGAAAACATTAGTCTTTTTAAAATCTAAATTACCTTTAATCACCTAGGAACAAAGGCAGCTGCCCCTGAACGTCCCATGACAAAGGGCCGCTAGTGGTGGGATGTGGGCTGTATGCATGAAGATGACCCCACAACTGGCTTGACATTGCAAAGTTAGCCCAGCCACACAAACCAAACTAAAAAATCCCCACATCCTCAGCAGTTACATTAACCACCTTATGTCCCTGATTCTCCTGGTTCTTTAATCATGTTCCATTGCAGCCTGCACTTAAAACCTTCCATCTGACTTTTGCAACAACAATAACAACAACAACAACAACAAAAAAAAAAAAAAAAAGGAAGAAAGAAAAAAAAGATCTGTAAGATGGGATCACAAAGCAATGACCAAGAGGCACTCGAAATTCTCTCTGTACCAGGAGAACCGGGAAATATAGTTGCGATTACTGTGCTAAACTTTAAAAAGTTTATAATAAATATTGTGTCAGTGTTCAGTTCTAATAGCTAAGTGCTTTGAGATTCATTTGTAAATAATTCTGCAAGTGTTGTTTTGTGGGTTTAGCACTGACCCACAGGGGCAATCACTGAGTGAAGCCCAAAGAAATTAGTCAAATAAACTTTTACAATATGGTATCTAACTTCCCCTCTGGGATCACATGCCCAAACCTCACTGACATTGGCAAGTTAGATCCCCATGGGATGGCTACTGCTACTGACAGGATATAGGGGTAACTTTGTAGGTGGCCATCTTCCTAATACTACCTCATAAGCCTCTATTTGTGTGCTAGAAGGCTTGGTTCTTTAACAAAATGCATTTACTCCAATGGCATGTCATGATAATAATAGTATTTATAGATCACTTTAAGATTTTGCAAAATATACTTAAAATTTTTGTGTGTGTTTTTTCTTTTGGGTCTATGTCTTCTTTCACAACATGACTAATATGGTAATATGTTTTGCAAAATTGAACATGTATGACCTATATCAAATTGCTTACCCTCTCAGGAAGGGGGGAGAGAAAATTTGGAACTCAAAATTTTAAAAATAATGTTAAAATTGTCATTACGTATAATTGGGGAGAAATAAAATATTATTTTTTAAAAAGATTTTGCAAAATATACTTTACATATATTATCTTATTTGATCCTTAGAACAATGGTGGGACATGGTAGATGAGTAAACTGAGGCTGAATGAGGTTAAGTGATTTGCCCTGGGTCACAAAGGTAGTAAGTGTCTGAGGCAGGATTTGAACTGAGGTCTCTCCTGACTCAAGTCCAGCAGTCTATGCACATTACCTAACTGCCACAGTACTTAGAAAGCATAAACAATAGTTTAAAAAGTATCTCCCTCAAAACCCGGTGCAAACTCTCCCACCAGTACACAGAGAGTCTGGGGTGGGGGAGTGGTGGAGAGGGAAGAGTGGACATGAATTTAAAGTACAATGGTATTGAGGCACAGGTGTAAAGAGAACACATGGGTCATTTCGCACCTCTGCAATTGCAGGGCCTTTCTTTCCCTGCAGGGTCCTAAAGGAGTTCATAGTTCACTGTGGCACATGGTACAGCTCACTGCTCAGCTGGGCTGGCTCTTCACAGGCAAAGTGCTTCTGCTGGACAGGGGCTCATCTGGCCTTTAATGCCTCCCCAACTATCACTGACCAATGTCGGAAATGCCACCATCAGAAATTCGTTGTTTTCGTCCCTTACCCCAAAAGAATTTGGGTCCCATTTGTTTGAGAGGGGAATGATGAGGATAGGATCTAGACCCCAAAAAGGAAAAACCCTGGATTTTCTCACTTGGCCAAATCGCTGGCATTAATTTCATCAACTGGCCTTTCTTTGTGGCTACACTCAGTCTC